GCAGGAATACGCCTGGCCAGGGGGTGGGGGGAAGCAGGCAGAAAACAGATGCCAACCTTTAGCTAGAGCTATGGACATGGGGGCCAGGAAGATCCTGCTTTCAGTCCTATCCCCGGGTATCCTGGGACATCCCACGCTGCCCTCTCTCTACAGAACAAGAGGTGGAGCTAGGAAGAGGACCAAGGAAATGAGGAGGAATATCATATCTGGGTCGAGGCTGTCCCGCCCCCCGAGACCACATCGCCAGACCACATGAAAGATCTGGGAGGGGACCAAGTAGGGAAGGGCCCGGAAAGCCATGAAGCTCAGGGACCAGGCTGGCTAGACAGAAGGTCCTCATCCTCTCCCAGCATTCACTGCCAGCCCTTCGTTGGAGTCTCCTTCACTCCCCAGGCACCTCCTTGGTGGGTAGGGGCTTCTGTGAGGGCCAGCAGGGGAGGCTCCCTGGAATGTGGCTGGTGAGCCAGGATTCCTGAGTTATCCAGCTGCCTCCCTCTGGGATCCAGGACACTGAGCCTCTTCCTCTTCCACCCAGCTGTCAGTTATTCCTTCTGTAAAATGGGAGTGATGCGTCCAACTCTCCTTTGTTATAAGACTGATAAAGATCTTGACTAATAAAGCTCAAAGGAAGGAGAGAAAAAGCAAATGCTCCTAGCTCCCCACTTCTTTGTGTCTGCCTCCTGCCCCATTTCTCCCTGGCGGTATCCTCTGTGTCCGTCTGGGTCTGTCCAGCTGGCCGTCACAGTTTCCAGACTGATGAATCACATTTCCTGAGGAGATTTTTTTTTTAAACCCTCCCCCTATTTTGCATTTGACCCTATATGGTTTTCCTTTTTCCTTCAGAAGGGGAGTAAGCTGTATGTGAGTATGTGAGCTGTATGTGAGTATGTGAGCGTGTGTGTGTGTGTGTGTGTGTGTGTGTGTGTGTGTAGTATGGCTGGGTGGGTAGGAGTTCAGTGAGGGTGGAAAAATTGTTTGACTGTTTCTCTAAGGAGGTTGACTTTTGACTTCAGAGTCTCTCTGGGGACTGAGTGAAAGGCTATCTGCGTCTGAGTGAGGGTATAACCAAGAGAGGGGCTGGTTCCTGAGGGATGGTGTGTTTGAGAATAAATGTGTGTGAGAGACAGGACGTGTTTAACTGGGGTGTCTGTGTGACTCAGAGTATGCACAGCTGAGTGGTGTCTGTTTGACGGAGCAGGTGTTGGTGTGTACCTGGGAGAAAGTGTGTGGGGCTATGTGAGCTCTGAGCATATACAGAAGACGTCTGAGAGAACACAGTGTCCCTTAAGGTTCTGGTGTCCAGAGGCCAGTCCCTGGAATGAGAGGAACTTTCTGGGACCCAGGCTGGGTGGTAGGTACTTGCCTGGCCCAGAACCTCAGCCTGGTCCTGGGGGCTCCAGAGGCGGCTAGCACTGTGTTTCCAGATGGGAAGGGTACCTCCTTGGGGTGAAAGAGCTCTTTACGGGGCTAGCGCGACTGGTGGTTGTGGTTGGAAGGAGGTGGGTTGGCTTCTGGAGCCCTAGGGAAGTGGGCTGGCTTGGAAGAGGCAGTGCCTTGGTCCAGTGTGGGTCATGGGGCGAGGTGAACTGCTGGGAGGGTGGGGGTAAGGGGGGCAAAGGAGGAGGTGTTTAGGGTGGAGACAGGGGCCGGGTTCAGTGCTGTGCACATTGCACACAGCACTGCCTTGGCCTGCACTTGTCATGGTGGCAGACTGAGGGCCAGAGCTGGACCCAGTGACTTAGCTGGATTCCCAGGAGTTTCACTCTTCTCTCTAATATATGGAGCCATGGACTGTCAGAGCTTAACCTCTGCTGTCATCAAGCCAGCCTCCTCACTCTGTTGATAAGGAACCCGAGGCCAGAGGGTGTGACTGGCCCAAAGTGACCAGCCAGTCAGGGGCTGGGCCGGCCCCCTCCTAGGCCAATGGTGACTTTTAGCCACAGAGGGGTCTCAGTGAGACCCCAATTCCCCTCACTTCTGGCTCCTGACTCTTCACCCTCTGGCCTCTGTATCTACCTCTCACCTTTCCTTCTCTCTGTCATCTCCCTGGTACCTTTCCTCCCTGCCCCACTTCTACTCCTGACCCGGGCTCCGGACTTCTGAGCTGGCTCCCGCCCCGCGCCGCCCCGCGCCGCCCCGC